ATTATAATTATAATTACGATTATGATTATAATTGTGATTATGATTACGTTTATGCTTATGATTATGATTATGATTATGATTATGATTATAATTATGATTATAATTATGATTATAATTATGATTATGATTATGATTATGATTATGATTATGATTATAATTATAATTATAATTACAATTATGATTATGATTATGATTATGATTATGATTATGATTATGATTATGTTTATGATTATAATTACGATTATGATTATAATTACAATTACAATTACAATTGTGATTATGATTATGATTATGTTTATGCTTATGATTATAATTATGATTACAATTATGATTATGATTATGATTATAATTATAATTATGATTATGATTATAATTATGATTATGATTACGTTCATACTTATATTTATGATTATGATTATGTTTATACTTATAATTATAATTATGATTATGATTAAGATTAAGATTATGATTATGATTATGATTATGATTATGATTATAATTATGATTATGATTATGATTATAATTATGATTATGATTATGATTATAATTATGATTATGATTATGATTATGATTATGATTATGATTATGATTATGATTATGATTACGTTTATGCTTATGTTTATGATTATGATTACGTTTATGCTTATGATTATAATTGTGATTATGATTATGTTTATACTTATGTTTATGATTATGATTATATTTATGCTTATGATTATAATTATGATTATAATTAAGAATAAGATTAAGATTATAATTATGATTATGATTATGATTATGATTATGATTATGATTATGATTATGATTATAATTATGATTATAATTATGATTATGATTAAGATTATGATTAAGATTATGATTATGATTATGATTATGATTATGATTATGATTATGATTATGATTATGATTACAATTACGATTATGATTACGATTATGATTATGATTATAATTACGATTATGATTATGATTACATTTATGATTATGATTATGATTATGATTATGATTATTATTATTGTTATTGTTATTGTTATTGTTATTATTACATTCTTTATTAGATTTTCTTGATCTTTGATAGATAATCCATCATAATAAATTTGTTATGATATTTAAAACAGTTATCATAGTAATCATTTTTTGATAATGATTACGTTTCCTACAATCATGCAATACCATCACTATCAAGTATAATTTGTGGCTGGGCTTTTAGTTATTCCATAGCTGAATTGAAGAGCAGCCTGAATATATTTTGAAATGTTTTATATATTATAAAAAATTAAAGTGACTTTCACTTTAGAAGATGTTCATTTATTACCTCATTTATAAACTCTTGAGTAATTTGCTTTGAATTGTGTAATGATTTCAATATAACTTTTGTTTTTCCTCTTGTCTAAATTTATTTTTTTCATATTCCCACTTGGAATAGCGATATTATCATCATCATCCAATAATGACCGCCCAACCAGGTATAAATTTACTCAAAACTTCCTCTTTTTGCAATATATTCAACGTGATAAATCTTTCAAAAGGAATCTATTCAAATATATTTTTATATTGATATTGAATCTTGTTGCATTCTTTTATTAGAACATCGATATCTTTATCTCTGCTAGATAATTCGTCATTATAAATTCGTTGTAATATTTGAAACAGTCATCATAGTTCCAATTTTCTTCTCATATTATGGACTAAAATACTCATCGCAATATCTTTTGACAATCGTAACATTCATTACAATGATGAATATTTAATTCCATCTTTGAGTTCACTGGATAAAATGGGTGAATTGGTTGAAATAATAGAAAACAAACGAGAGATAATCATTGTCATTATATACACACCCTGGCTAAAAGTATTCGTGATAGCTAAAACTCTTTTTGAAGTTGAATAAAATTTTCGCATTTGTGGTGATTATTAGAAAATCACTGATACTTTTGACCAGGATGTGTACGTATGGTTGGTATATCGATATGTAATATAATGATTTTGTCGATCCTTAAGTATGTTTGTAAGTAAGAGGATGGACATATATCACGCAATTATTGAGGAGTGAGGGAGGGATCTCAAAAATCTCATCTCCACATGATCAAAATAATTAGCTGATCAAATATAATAAAATTTCATCTGGAGGGGGAGAATCAGTTCTATAGTAATGACATATTACATAATATATATCCATTCCCTAAGCAAAATAATAAATGACGAGATTGAGAAAAATTTGAATAAAAAAATAATGTAAAAACCCTCAATACTACAAATAAGAATCAATTGGTATTAAATTATTTTGGTTAAAATATATTTGTGCAACCTGTGCATTAACAAAGACTGAATTTTTATATCAATATATAATCAAAACAATAGCAATTGATTCTTTACTCATAGTATTTATAGTGTTTCAAGGTTTTTTATATTTTCTTCAAATCACGTTTATATACAATTATTATTTTGCTTGCTTGGAATATTTTTCATTTAACCAGTAATTTTTTTTAATAAGAATGTAAATTTGGGGACTTAATACAAATTTGATTTCAAAATATTTAGTATTAAAGACTATTTTAACCAAATATTATCAATTTAACCAATTCTTCTTTTGATTTTTCATTCAACACAGCAATAAACATATCAAAGTTTAATAGAGCAACAGATCTAGCATTTTCATGATATGCTGATAATAGTCATTATCCAAGATGTCTAAATCCAATATTTGTAAAAGAGATATAGTATTATATTAATTATATAATTATTCTTTATAAATAGTTTCAAGAAACTTCAAATACAAGAGGTATACGGTGGCGCTCAAAAGTAATGCATCACTAGGACGAAAAAACGAATCATGACTTTATTACACCAAACTGATGATGCATTTCTTTTGATCATTTTCCCCCTCAAAACAAATATATAATGGATAAAAAACACAACAAAATAAAACACACCTCCTATAAATAAAATATTTATACCCTTCTTAAAGAAGAATATTCTTCCTTTTATATTGCAAATCGTGAAAATATTTCCCAATCCTCCATTATAAGAATAAAGCAAAAAAAAGATACTCATAATACCTTTAAAGATTTACCAAAACCAGGTCATCCTAGAATTTTTACTGGATGTGATGAATAAAATATTATACGTCTAATTTTGAATGGTAGTTTTCCCACTGCAACATCTATTCAAAAAAAATTAAAAACTGATAATAAAATTGATGTCAGCACAAGCATAATAAAGCGAATTTTACATTCTTCTTCACAAATTAAGCACAAAGAACCATATCTCAAAAAACACATCAAATTCAATGTTTAAAATTTGCAAAAAAATATCATCATTGGATTAATAATTGGAGCAAAGTCATCTGGTCGGATGAATTGAAATTTATGATTTTTAATTCAGACGGATGTGAATATTTAATAATGAAACTTTGAAAGAGCATCACATGAAACCTACAGTAAATTTGGAGGTAGGAATATAATATTTTGGGGTTGCTTCAGATTTTTCAGCATTGGTAATATCGTACGCATTTATGGTCATATGGATAAGAATTTATATCACGAAATCTTAAAAGATGACATTTTAGGAACAATCCAATGGTCTGAAATTAATAAAAATGATGTTGTCTTTCAACAAGACAATGATCCGAAACACACGGCAAAATCTACGTTCGAATGGTTTGATGATAATGATATCCGTTTGCTTGATTGGCCTACCCAATCACCTGATCTTAACCCAATTGAATATCTCTGGAACGAAATAGATCGTCATTTGAGAATGTTGTCAATTGGTATCCATACTCAAGATCAACTTTGGGATGCGATACAAAAAATTTGGATTGAAATTGATAACGTGTTTTTAATGAAAGTATAGCGGAACGCATTCAAGATGTAATTAATGCAAAGGGTGGCTATACTAGGTGGTAATTAAAATTGGTGGTTAAATTTTCATAAATTTATTTAGTTTAGTGAGTAATTTCGATTTTACTTTTATTTATCAAAACGATCAAAAGAAACGGATCGCTTGATTTGATGTAAAATGTGGTTTATTTTTTTTTAAATGTACGATATGAAAAATTCGTCCATATATAGGCCTTAAAATAAGCCTATTTATATATTGATTGATATTGTATATGAAACGTTATTAAATCGTGAAATTTATCGTCCGGGTGATGCAATACTTTTGAGCGCCACTGTAATTCAAGAGGATAAAGAAGATATTATAAATAGATAAACAAAAAATAGAAAATATAATATATATAATAAAGATAAAAGATGAAAGATGAAAACTAAAGAAATAAAATGAAACAGAATATTTATACTAAAATTATTTTTGAGTTTAATGCAATAGAAACAAAAAGAAAATTAGAAGCTTAAGAGTGAAATTTAGAATATAAAAGGATAAATTTAGAAGTCAGAAAAAATTTATAAGTTCAAAGAAAATAAGAGACTTATATAGTTTATTATTATTTCTGATTCAAATATAAATTTATATTTATGAAATAATTTCAATTAAAGATCTTGAGTAACTATTCTTGTTAATTATATAACTTATATATTTTACTTTATAAATATAAAACCAATTTTTGTTGCATTATCATTTGAATTTATTATATTATACATTAATATTTTATCTCTGATTTCAAATTATTATATCTTTGATAATTTCTAATAGTGATACATGTCGTTTTTCGCTAGCTTCACGTATAAATAAATCCTTTTCGTTGATTGTTTAAGGCTGGTGATCTTTTGGTAAGTTTGGTTCGTTTATATCTATTTAGAAAGCGGCGTACCGTTGTAGGTCGCGTCCGAGTATTTTTGCGATTTGAGCGGCATTTGTGGTGTCCATGTACGCCAAAATCTTCCCCTTTTTAATTTCGTTAAGCTGCGTATAGGTGGACACCAATTTTTAACCTAACGAAATTATAGTGTTGACGAAGTGGCAAAAGATAACGATAAATAACGATAAAGTGAAAAAAATGGTTACACACGTAAATCGGGCGATGCTTTCTGTGGGTACTGATGATACTTTGTCAATCATCTAGTTTTTTCTCACTGACTGTATCTTATACCGCTAAAAAAAAAGAAAAAATAAAATTGAAATAAAATGACGACCGATTTACTATTGACTTTACATTCAAACAAATTTGCTATATTTTACGAAAAGGGCGATTTTTGTGATATTTCGATAATTGTTGGTGATGGAAAAGATAGACAGACCTTTACCGCACATTCGTCTATTTTAATGGCGCAATCCCAATATTTCGCCGTCACACTGTCTGATATGTGGGTGAAACGAGAACCAAATAAAATGATTATTTTTAAAAAACCAATTTCGCCGCGTGCTTTTGAAATTTTATTGAGGTAAATAAATTATGACTTGTATTGGTACATACAGTCAGTAAATAAATAAAATCTATTTTATGATGTGTTACGTAGATACATGTATTGTGGCAAAATCGACTTGAATGAACATGGATTGCCGACACTTTTAGACTTATTGATTGCTGTGGATGAGCTGGCTTTTGATGGATTGCTTGAATACATTCAAAACTTTCTTTTGGAGCATCACCTTGAATCGATGACTGAAAATTTTTCCTTGATCAATCAAGTCGTATTCGAACACAATACTTTTACGAAACTTCACAAATTTTGCACAGATATTGCATGTCAAAATCCTGCTGCTATTTTTCAATCGAATGATTTTACAAAACTTCCAGAAAACGCGTTAGTTTCTTTCCTCGAACGTGATGATTTGAATCTTCAAGAAATCGACATTTGGGAGAAGGTTCTTGAATGGGGAACTGCTCAACCTTTCGACTCTGAAAATGTTAATTTTACGAGTCCCGTAGAGAAGTGGACACAACACGAATTTAGACAATTAAAATTTGCGCTTAAACAGTGCTTCCCATTAATCCGTTTCTTCCATATAAATTCAGTTGACTTTTACAATAAAGTAATGCCATATTCGGAACTCTTATCAGCACAGCTATACAAGGACCTATTGCATCATTATTTGGTTCCAGGCAGCGAAGATCTTCAAGCTAACAAACATCCTATTCGAAATCCAGATATCAATAATGCTGATTTAGTTCAAGAAAGCGAAGATATTCGAGTTAATAATAATGCTAGCTCCACAACATTTACCCGAAACCAAATTAATAAAATAAGTGGGTGGATGGAGTCGCAAGATACGAAATCAACTCAATCATTTAATTTACGAGACAGTCGAAATGGATCCACATCAGCTGATTTTCATAAAAATGATTTTGCAGGACTTCAAAAAAACGCGTTAATTTCTTTGCTCAAACGGGATGATTTGAATCTTAAAGAAATTGAAATTTGGGAGAAGGTTCTTGAATGGGGAACTGCTCAACCTTACAATTCTAATAATTCTAAGAAAGCTGATTTTACGAGTCCCGTGGAGAAATGGAGACAAACCGAATTTAAACAATTAAAATTTGCGCTTAAACAGTGTTTACCATTGATCCGTTTCTTCCACATAAATTCTGTTGACTTTTATAATAAAGTAATGCCCTATTCGAAACTCTTATCAGCAAAGTTATACAAGGACCTATTGCATCATTATTTGGTTCCAGGAAGCGAAGATTTTCAAGCTAACGAACATCCTATTCGAAATCCAACTATCAATAATGCTGATTTGGTTCCAGGAATCGAAATTAATGAACATCCTATTCAAATTTCAAATAACAATAATGTTCATTTGGTTCCAGGAATCGAAGTTCTCCAAGTTAACAAACATCCTATTCGAAATTCAAATAAGAATCGTCAAGTTAACAAGCATCCTATTCGAAGTTCAAATAACAATAATGCTGATTTGGTTCCAGCAAGCGAAATTAACGAACACCCTATTCAAATTTCAAATAACAATCATGTTCATTTCGTTCCAGGAATCGAAGTTCTCCAAGTTAACAAACGTCCTATTCGAAATTCAAATAAGAATCGTCAAGTTAACAAACATCCTATTCGAAGTCCAAATAACAATAACGCTGATTTGGTTCCAGCAAGCGAGATTAACGAACATCCTATTCAAATTTCAAATAACAATAATGTTCATTTGGCTCCAGGAATCGAAGTTTTCCAAGTTAAAAATCGCCAAGTTAGCAAATATCCTATTCGAAATTCAAATAACAATAATGCTGATTTGGTTTCAGGAAACGAAGATCTTCAAGTTAAAATAAATGCTGACTCGACAATACTTAACCGAATCCAAATCAATACAATAAGTGGATGGATAAAGTTGCAAGATACAAAATTAACTCGATCATTTGATTTAAAGCTATTATTACGAGGCAGTCGAGATGGATTGACTGCAGCTGATTTTCATCGACTTTGTGATAACGTAGATCCAACAGTGATTGTGATTAAGGTTAAAGATTCAGGAAAAATAATTGGTGGATATAATTCATTGGAATGGAATTCAACCAACAGATGGTATTATTCAAAAAATAATTTTTTATTTCAATTTGACAAACTCGGTTGGTTTATAAGTAAAGTTAAATGTGAAAGAGTTAATATTGGTTGCTATAAAAGATATGGACCAATGTTTGATGATTTAAGGTTATTCGATCCAACTCATGGTAACTTTTGTCAAAGAGCTTCATATGAACACGCTCTGTTGAGCTCTGATGATAATAAAGTTACTTTCGAGGTTGATGATTATGAAGTATTTCAAATTTTACAAAAGTAATTTTAGTTTATTTTATTTTAAAAAGTTTACAAAAATATCCTTTAAAATACTTTAAATAAAGTTTATATTAAATATTAATCATAAATTCTTTGACTTTACTTTAAAAGGATGAAATTCTTAATTAACAAATTACAATTAAGAGAATTGCTGTTACCAGTTCTTTAAGAAACAGAAATTATGGTTTTTACATCAAAATAATTCTCAAGTTTTCAACTCGTCAAAATCCAAATACATAGTAAGTTCTAAATATATGTCCATTATTGACTCCTAACGTCTAATAGAAATCTAACGATGAAGCTAAATTCTTGTATAAGATTTTTTATGGAATCATTAATCAAAACATATACACGTAAATGTTAGGGGGAATGAACAAATATTAGTTAATATATATTTTTTATAGACTCATGTACAAAATGCACGTGATCTTTTATTAACACCTGCCCAGAAAATTAGTCACTTTCCTAAATCTTTTTAGAACATTCTCCAGCGGATACATGCAGAACTTCTCAAACCCAAAATTCATCATTAAAAAAAAAGCATGCAATACATGTAATAGCTAAAAAGCTGTGTAAATTTGTTGCAAATCCATATTAAATACATCAATTTGTTGTTAACATTAAAATATTTTATGTAGTTTATTCATTGTTGTTTAGAAAGCCAAGTATTTGGATATACCTCTGACGTTAGACGTGATGGACGTAACTTTAGTTACGTCATGCTTCCATGCGGCACCATGAGTCTGCACCAATAGACAATAATACTAGTTAGTACTCGCGTTTTGTTAAATTCTTGCAATCAACACGATATCACATTTTTCAATAATTGTGGTTTGTGGAGAATTTACAATTGATGTTAAATTCCAAAGGTAACTAGTTTATTTGAACTAAATTATTATATCAGAAACAACCATTGACTCTTTTCGATAATACGGAAACTGACTACACTTCTTGCAATAAAACTCAAAATTCATTTGATAAATATAATTTTTACAAAACTTACAAAGATACATGTACACATAATATACAATATGCAAAAATTCTAGGCTTTATTTACCATTTAGGAATTAAGAATGACAAAGATTATGGTCAAGCTTTGCAATATTACATGTATCAACAAGCAAAGATGTTATAGCATAATTTCGTTGATAAAAAAAGATGAACAAAAAGCATTCGAATAGTATCTGAATTGCAGTAGAGTTTGGTCACTCCAAAACATAATTTAATCTTGCTCTTTGCTATAAAAATGGCGAAGGAAACAATCGAAGATGAACGAAATGTATTCGAGTGATAATCGAAGCAGCAGGATCAAGGAAAATTTGTTACAGTATAATCATGCTTTCTGCTATCAAAATGGAGAAGGAATAATCAAAGCGGAATGAAAACATTCGAATAATCCGCATAGAATGTAATGGCGTTTAGTTTTTTAAAATTCAGGCGTAATCTTTAAGGACAACTACACAAAAAAATTTACTACTAGAACACCCCTAAAAAAATTCGTATATTATCCCTCCCTCTTTGAAAATCATAAGAGCTATTAGGGACGTGTCTTTTATTACCATGGGTTCAGTTGATATATTATATCATATATAAGACGTAATCAAAAAATTACTTTTAGCATGTAAGGTGTTTGTATTTGGCATATGCATATTAATATTGTCTGTCTCATTTAATCATTTGTATTGTTAATAATTAAAATCAACTTGACATAATAACTTCTAATTGAACCAAACTTAAAACACAAAAATCGTTTATAATTTGACTTTGAATCTATGCATCCTTGATTTATTTCATTTAGCAAAAACCGGACAACTAAAGGTTCATTATCTGGTAAAAATTTTGTGTTTACCTACTACGCAGTGTGACTGCAGCAAAGAATTTAGATAATATGACTTAAAATAAATCTCTCGACTTAAACGATATTGTAATATATATACCGTATAGTCTCGAAAATAAGCAACCCCCCTACGCCATCAATTTGGGACTGAATTTTTAGGGGGTTGCTTATTTTCGAGCACTTTTTAAATGCTTAATCCCTATACTTTTGGACAAAAATCAGGTGTTGCTTCTTTACGGTACACGTACATGTATTATGAATATTTTTTAAAAATTTTTATGAAAAAATGAGCTAATGCAAAATATTGTAATGACATCAACAAAATTTGTTCGTATAAACGAAGCAAAGTTGACACGTGTACATACTATTAACGTCATTAAAGTGCGTAATGTTTACGTTTTAGAGGATTAATTCTCTCAATAAGATCTTATGTACATGTATCACTATTTTGTACTCCATTAAATTTAAGTGAATTGTTATATTTATCATATGAAACAAATGCAATTTAAAGTTAAATAATGATTACACGTTAACACACTAAACCAAAGTCATTACTATACGTATAGGGCTCCTTTCTATCAGTATCTCCCAAAAGTCTCTCCATTCCCCACCAATTAAAACTATTAATTTAAAAAACGAATATACCGCAATTATTTGAACGGATTAAGTTAATTCAAGACTTAAAAATCTTGTAAAGTTTGTATCAACACTAACATCTGTAGATATTTTTGCGTATCGCGGGAGAAAAGTGTGTTAACAGTTGAGACTTATCTGACAAGAATTCGGATAGATATTTAATTATAATTTTTCATATTACATGTACATGTAATTTAGATTGAATTATCTTTCTACATGTTATAAAGCATGTATCAACATTCAATATCTATTTGCCATTCACGAAATAAAAGAGACATGATTTCTAGCCTTTTGGACAAAAAAATGAATTCTATATTAATTATTTTTCTTCAAACAAAATAAAATTTTAAAAAGTTGCGCGATTAATTAACCTCTAAAGTCAACCTCTCTAGACAACGCTAAATACATGTATATAGAGAATGTCGTTATATAAAAAAAACCAATTTCTCTAGATTATTTGAAGTATCTAAAAATATAAACTGAAAAATTAGCAATCACTTGGGGGGAATTCTTCGATGAACGTAATTATAGGCAAAGATATGATTTTCAAAGTTTTATTTATTTCCTAAAAAATAGAATTCTTGATTAGATACATGTATTTAATCGAGAACCTGATCTCTATATTCAAAAAGCGGGAACTATCCTGATGAAGAATTTATATTCACACATTACACTTCTATGTTCTTTGTCTGGATGTCTTGCATTACTGTATATAAATTACACATGATACTTTTAATGAATTTTCTTGTAACACGTTAACCAATTTTAGTATGAGGAATAGAGCTATGCTCGATAGCGATAAACAATTAATCAACTAAATCAGTCACATATTATGTACAAACAGTTTCGAAATTGCATATTGGACATAATAATAACATAGCGATGGATTATTTAACCCATTGATTTTAATCCTCTGAACAATGTTTTCTGCATTCTTTTTATCAAAAGTTAGAATAGATCAACAATGGCACGCCATCTTTGTTGTCAATATACAGTTTAACGTTAATTTGAGCATAGCGATAGAAGAAAAAAATCCATATTATGTATCCTGTAAGGGAACCAGAAATAAAACCTCGAAATGGTAACAAACTAACCAAAAATGAAAACAAATAAGTATGAGAATATGATGATGATTGTGTGCTACACCAGTGAACGAGGTTAAATGGAAAATGCAATGTCTCTCAAAAAAAATAGAGCGTGCATTTTTTTCGCAAATTGATCTGCACATACAAATGAGTGAATGAAGGGACAATAACTTTTGAAAAGATACTCGAAATAAATGATCAACGGTAGTGTTTCAATAGCATGTAATTACGGGAAGCAAAGCCATTTACGTCTTACCGTAAATGTTCAACCAGGTAGTTCGGCGTAAATAACCATTTTCTCTTGCTTTCGCACAACATTTCCTAAAGTAACAGAAAAATAAATCGTGGCTTACTGTACAAGTTTAGGTACAATTTTCTCTCAAACCCCCCTGGACTAATCTTTTAACAGAAAACAAATAAAGATAATCACCAAACACAAATATATAAATAACCGTTCCGCTACGACATAAGCATTTCTAATTCAAATTTAAATTCTAATTCTAACTCATCTCTTATATTTTATTCTCATCATCAATTTCAAATATGACAGGAGGACCAACGATTGGATTATGTACGCGAGAAATTTATTATCATGAGATTGATAAGGATATATTACTATATTTAATTTGATATTTCTCGAATGTTTTATACATAGGCTTCAATCCGTGGCCAAGAAAACCCTTGGCAAAAGACGCAGAAATTTCATGGTTAGATGCTACTGATGCTTTATATTGGAAAACAGAAGAAAATAAAGAAAGGTAGGTTAATTAATTTGGTGATCATCTATCTAACATTTCATCATAAAGACAATTATATAATCACAAATAGCTATACGGGTAAAATTGTGACGCTGTATCAAGTGTGTTTCTTTAACGTAAGTAAATTATAATTATTATTATTTTGATTCACAGTCTAAAAACGGAAGTGCTGACTCGGAACTTTTTTTCTCTTATTTTGAATAAATAGGTAAAAACCACGTTTAGCACGGTTTCACCTGGAACATACGATGTCGTCTGGCGTTTGAAAGTTCATCCCGAACATAAAGGACTTACTAACCTGAAATTCACTGCAGAAGTCATCGAACAGGTACAATGAGAAAGAATCCATTAACCCAGCAATAATAACACGCGTACTTTATAATCGTTCCTTTTTCGTTTTATTTTTCGATACAGGTTAAAAAGGCCCCTTCTGGCTTTAAAGGTTACAACAAACTCGAAACTTACGATTCGAATGAAGCTCTATTCAAAGACTTGGCTAGTAAATACCGTTGGGTTGATCTGACGCTTCCGTTTAAAATAACGATTCCGGAGGAACGACTGATTGGTGACGAGTCTACTTGGTATGATGTCGAAGTGAAGATTTTCGATCATTCTGGATATTGGAAGAGCGGTTTGGTGAGCTTTGTTTTTCTTGTAATAATAGCTGTGAATGCATCATTGATTATCTGAATTCCTTTTTGCTAACTTATGTATCGTTTGTTTTCGTATATTATGTAGTCTCTTGATAACGTGTGTCTTCGACCTTACTAATTGTACGGACATGTATATAGTACTGTAATACATATTAATCACGTGAATGGTTTTGATTTCTACATGTATTTTTAAATTTAACGATCAATATACGTATTGATGATGTGGACATGTCGTCATCATTAAAAAATAAATCTATTTGGTATGAATCGTAAATTGATTAACATAAAGATAAAAAACATGCAGTTTCTAGTAAAAGAAGTGTTTTTCTTTTTTGATGGTTCGCCCGTTTCCTTCCAGACTTCGCCCAAAATAGATAAATGATTAGCGAGGAAACTCTTATCACTCAGGACTTTATCACTGGTTTCATGGGCGATGGAGGAAATCTCTGACTTTGCAAGTTGCCAAATGACTTCATTCGTCTAACATTTTGAAGATAGCTTTAACTAAGAATTTAAATGAGAACATTGTAACATGACATGATAATCACCTCTTTTTCATCCATTCCTGAAGATCCTCCTTTTGTCTTATAATATCCAGAAATTAAACCCAATGCAAACGAAAAACCATTAATGACTCTACTATATCCATTCAAAATAGTTGTCATAGGAAATCCATATAGATGGGCTTCAGCCCTAGTTATGTAAATTTCCCCTAAAAGGGATAGCAAGTTCTGGCCGTTAGGTTCTGCAGAGAGTTTTTGAGCTTCTTGAGAAAGGCTTTTTTTGAATGATTCAAATTCTGCATGGTCCTCATTTGGAAATTGTTGGAGCTTGTCTTGCAGGTGACGGACAATTCGGGATACACGACGTTCTTTTTGCTTGGGTGAGTTCATCATTTCCAGTTCGGGTGATCTCCCATCTTCCATTACGGAAGCAAGCCAAAGGCCAATTTCAAGGTTGCCAATATAAGGAATCCAGGAGTCTCCTCCTACAAAGGCATTTAACGATGTTTTACCTACTATATTTAAAATAATCAATTCAGAAACTGTTTAAAATTGCAACACAGAAGTGAAAAATATTTAGTACATACAGTCATGAATAGTTCCATAATTATTATAAAGAGCACGTTTATCCTCATCCAAAAGGATTTCATATGCCTTTGAGATATTGTACCACTAGATTGTGAATTTTGAATTAGTAGGTGAATTAAATTAAACAAAAATACATCTCGGATAATGGCACCTCTTCGGTTTCAATGCCACCATTCTTATCAGGATGGTGTTCCAAGGCGAGCTTCTTGTAGTTTGATTTGATCTCAGTTTCAGTCGCGTTGGGCTTTAACTGGAGTACAGTATATAAACTCGGCATACTGCCTGCTATCAGAATAAATAATGAAGATGAGTGCGTATAATAAACATGATTTTTATTGGTTATTGCTTACCATTAGAAGGTTCAGTTTCCACCGCTTTCGTTGGCTTATTTATCCATGTTTTTAGTATCGTCTGTTTACTTCTATTATATGCATTCTCATCAATCTCACCATTCGTTAATTGACGTTCGTTCTCTTGTAATTCTGCTTTGAGAATCATTTCTCTCAAATAAAACTTTTCAATAATTTTGTATTAATTTCCAAAAAGTACGTGTCTTTATTTTAATTCTCTCCGCGACATTAATTGCCACTAGTAGAATAGAAAGTACATCGTGAGCACATTTATATGTAAATATGGAAGGCGTGTGACATGTGACTCGCTCTTGATACCATAAATTTCGTTGTCACTGCAGAGAATCATTAATAATGTCGTTAAACCATTATCGAGAGGTTGATTTGTAACATTAAAAAATTCCCATTTTAATTCTCTTCACGTAATACATGTAATAGGGTATAAATAATAGTATCGATATTTAACGCATTATGATTCAATTTGCCCGCTAGGAGGATAGAAAGAACATAATGGCAATTAAAAATTCTGTAAATAATAATGTGTAATAATAAACAATAATAATGAATTATGTGATTTTAACAATTAGGTCGTGATTATTTTTGTCTAGTGTAAAAAAAATAGGTGCTGCATTAATTTCTCATTATTATATACTTTGCATCATGAATTTGAAATTTTGTCTATAAACATCGACGCGACGTAACACTAATTACCCTTTTAAACAGAACATGTATATAAAAAAATATATATACATGTATGTATCGATGTCTCACATTCAAAGTTTCGGAAACAAAAAAATTACTTTACATCGTTATTAAATTCTTCCATCTCGGTTTGTGTTTCTAATGCTTTTTTAGGCATCGAATGTTCTATTAACATTTCACAATTACATTATCTAATCTTTATTTAGTAAAATAATACAGAAATTATGATTAATCTCTCCCCTCGACAGAAACTCGATCAGCTCGAAGAAATTAGATGCTATTTGAATGACGAAGAATACAAAAACATCAGACAACATATCTTATACCAATCTTTTGGAGGTAGATTTTATTTGGTACTTTGTTCTGTATATATGACAAATATTATTATATGATTTTGACATTCTCCTCTTTGACACATGTACAACGTTTAATCAACTTCATGAATTACTCTACATAAAAGATTATAAATCTTTCTGGGAAAGATTGTATGAAAAAGCATGCTATTTTGGTAATCTCTTCCTCCAGAGACTGGTTTTTCCTGTCCTTACCAGCTTAGGCGTGAAGGGTTTAATAAAAGGTGAATAGATGACTTTTTTAGGTGCAAAATTTTTGTTATCAAGTTGATTGACGTTTAATATCTTATAACGATAACAGATATCTGAATCACCATAACGATAATAAATTTAATTGTTAGTATTAGTACAGGACAAGATAATTTATAAAATGATCGGCTATTCAAATTTTAGAACCCCGAAATCCTAAGCTTTCAGAATATATCTTTTTTGTTAAAATTGGTCCACTAGAAATTATGTAATTATCATTTGAATAAAATTGATTACCTTCTGTGTTTACTAACTTCAAATGATATTTTTGAGAGAATTCACATATTAACTTTAAATAAATTATATGATCAGAATCAGCAAATCTCAATTTAATGATGTACATTGGCGATCAAAAGTAATGCAACACAAAATTAAAAATTGTTAAATCGCGATATCTTTGCACAGACTTAAGAACATCAAATTATAGTTAATAAATTTAATTACGTATATACAAATAACATAAATATAATAAATTCAACATGGATAATTAAACTAATTATATCAAATATCATATTTTTAACTATACCCAATATACTACCATCTAGTATAACTGCTATGTGCTTTTATTATATCACAAATTCTTTCTGGCATAGAATGAATTAAATTTGTGCAATAATTCACATCAATTTCCTCCCAAACCAGCTGTATTTTTTCCCATAAGTCTTCCATACCTGAAATTGATCCAGAAAGACACTGAAGACAATGATCTACTTCATTCCATAAATGTTCAATTGGATTTAGATTGGGTAATTGTGCTGGCCAATCTAAAACAGTATTATTATTATTATCAAATCACTCTTTCCTCAAATTGACTGTATGTTTGGAATCATTGTCCTGTTGAAAAATGATCTTATTGATAGCTAATCCATATTCTTCAATAATATTCATAAGATCTTCTTCAAGAATTTGTCAATATAATACACCATTCATATTTCTATCAATCTTATAAAAGTTACTAACATCACAAAAGATGAAACAATTCCATACTATTACTTTTTCATTACCAAATTTTACCATAGATTTAATATGAAGACTTTTTAATAACTCACCTGTTCTTTTCTAATAATACTATTTTCTAACAGATTTAAAAATCTGAAATTTAGATTCATCAAACCAGATTATTTTTGATCAATCTTCATAGATCCAGTTTTTATATTTTTTAACAAACTTAAGATAATATTGTTGATGTTCAGGCTTTAGATATGATTTTTTTTGTTTTATTTTCACTACTAAACCATTCTTTTTGAGTATATAACAAATAATATGCTCTGAGATTTTAATATTTTCAGTTTTATGAAGATAATTTTGGATAACAATGATAGTATAACAGTCACAAGATGTAATAAGATGGATTATTATTCTTTCTAACCAGTTATTTAATAATTATGAATAATCAAACTTATTTAAATTATTTAAAATGCATTATTCATGCTATTTTTTATTAATATGTGAGATAATAAAAGAACTAATTTTACAAGTTCTTGCTATTTTTCTTGTGATAATCTGAAATAATTATTTCAGTTCTTTTTCAAGAGTTATATAATATTTTAATATTTATTTTTTATTATTAAAAAGCTATAATATAATTTAAGAAAAAAAATAAATAAAATGGTTATTTATTTTCTAACTTCTGTATAATATTTACTTACTATTTAATCTTTCAAATAAAAGATCAAAAGAAATGCAATACTTATTTATTCAAGTTTATATATTTATTTAAAATTATATTTAATAATAGTAAATTTAAATTTTATTAAATAAAAACTGATACTATTAATATATTATTATTATAATGATATAAAATTTCTTAATTTCTTAATCTTTCTATGATTATGTAAAATTATATTTTCTTATAATTTCTATTTATTTTATAAATATTACTATTTTTACATTAAATATTTATTTTTATTACTATATTTATTATCATATTTTTATTTTTAAATATTATATTTTATTTATATTTGGAATCTATACTTTTAAATTATCTATAATATAATATTCATATATATAGTAGAATAGTATAGTGAAAGATCATTTTTAATTTTAGTAAAATAATTATACTTGAATAATAATCTCAAATATCTTTTCTCATTCTTTGATATTCTTTAATATTCTCTCACATCTTTTCATATCTTTTTATATCTTCTCATGTCTTTCTATATCTTTTAATATCCTTTCACATCTTTTAATATCCTTTCACATACTTTGATATTTTTTAATACTTTTTTGTATCTTTCAATATATTTTGATGTAATATATTTTTAGTTATTTATATTATACTACTTTAATTATATCTTATATATTAGATAATATTAATTAATAATACTATAATAACTTTTGTATCTGAAAAATAATAAAAGAACCTGTTCTTCTAGCATAAAATAAACAGTTTTAAATTGAATTATTTGAAAAATATAATTTAAAAACTTATTATTATAATAATAGTAATCTTTTTAAAAGATTTCTTTTTGAATTATATTAATATTCTTTCTTCCACTTGATTTTATTTCTTTGATTATACAAAGTTGATTTTTAGATTTTTAGATTATAATATTATATTAATTTTTGATTTTTGATATTATTTTGAAAGTAAAAGATCTTTATTATAAATAAGTCATATTTTTTATTTTATTGAGAGTAAAAGATCTCTATTATAAATAAGTTATATCCTTTTATTTTTATTTAGTTATTAATTTATATATTCTAGTTTTTATCTTTTATTAGTTAGAATTCTTTAATTAATAATTTTGCTATTTAATTAAATTAAAATCTTGAATTATATTGATTACTAGTAACTTCACTTAGTTAATTTTTATAATTTCTTTGATTTATTTTATTTTTTCTTTAGTATTTTATTCTTTTTAAGATAATATCTATAGATATTGATATAGATTCTAGAAATCTTTATTATTATTAAAAATTATAGTCTAATTTCTCTTTCTTTATCTTTTAATTATTTCAGTCTCTTCCAATCTTATATTATTAAGATAAATTCAAGTAAAAACTCACTTATTAATTTACTATAATATAGTTTTGGTACTTCCTCTATAAAGGAAAACTCTCTCAATATCCCTTATTATATTTTATACTTTTTATATTCCTTTTATATTTCTTTTTATATTCTTTTCTTTCTTTATTTATAATTGATAAATACTTATATCTTGAGTTTTCATGATTAATTATTATTTTTTTATTGGATTATCAATTAACTATCATCTTGATACATACCAAATTTCTAATTACTCTATCAAAATATTCTCTCAAGACTTTTATCCCTATTATCATTTTCTTTAACTTCAAATTACTATATAATTTTATATCTTTTATCTGCTCATAGAAAATATTAAAGCAATATCAATTAATCAAATTATATATCTATTATTTCAAGAATTAATTCAACTTAATCTTACTGAAATATATATTAGCTAATTAAGACAAAGAATAGTATAACTAGTAAATATCTTTATACTTGATCTCATTAATATACAAAAAGAATAGCTAGACTTAATTGAAGAATTTTATTAATAGTTTATCTATCAAGACTTTATCTTTTAACCAAGAACTTCTTTTGTTAATAGTAATATTAATGGATATTATTCTGAAATAAAGAACTCAGAAAATATTCCTATTTCTTCAGTATAACATATATTAATCCCAGAATCAGAAGAAAATAGTAATCATTTTAGTTTAGAAAAATATATTCAAACTGACTTAGAAGATAATAACCAATCAAAAGAAGAAGAAAATAATTAAATAGCTTAATTAAATAACTTAAATAACTTGATTCAAGCTCTTGGAGCACTTGTTAACCAAATAACTGATCAAAATATCTAGTTTATAAAAA